TGTGCTCAATTGTGGTCTTTAGGGTCTCTTGCCAGCACTTGATGAATTGTTTCCAAACTGTGAGAAGAGGCAATGTGCAAGACACTTATGGACAAACCTCAAGGGTGCTCGTGGAGGTGGCCAAATGTTGAAGGATCTATTTTGGACAGCAGCTAGGGCGACAACTGTTGCGAAGTTCAACATACTTTGCAAAGGCTGTCTGACTTTAGTAAGCCAGCCTACGATTGGTTGAAGCCCTTCTACCATTGGACCAGGTCGCATTTTCTAACTCACACCAACGGTGATATTCTCAGCAACAATAACGTAGAGAGTTGGAACAATACTATATTGGAGGAAAGGGATTTGGGTCCAATTAGCATGTGGGAGGGGATTCGGAGGAAGATCAAAGAAACAGAGGAAAAAGGGATTGAATGAGGATGTACAAGCCAAGAAGAAACAAAAGAAGGGGGAAGAGTTGCAACAAAACCGGAAGGGAAACAATACAAGTGTAAAGTTTGTGGTGTACTAGGCCACAACAAGACTTTCCGTGATGAAGCAAGGAAACAAAAGGTAGAAGAAAGAGAAGGCAGATGCAAAAAGGCAGCAACAACTTGAAAGGGTTGAGCGAAATAGACTTGCAGCATTGAAGAAACAACAAGAGAAAGTTGCAAAGGCTGCTTCTTCTTCGTCTAGACAACCCCCACACGTAGTTCAACTCATGCTAGATGTGAGCTTTTATAAATTTCTTCATTTCCCCGCCTTATTCAGTATTTCCAACATACTAATGTCGTCTTAATTTGCAGTGAACGTCTCGAAGGCCATCAAGTCAAGGCTCTCAACTCTCACAGATTGCAAGCCAAGTGACTCAAGTACAACAGCTGTGAAGAGTAGATTTAGGTCATGTAGTAGGGGTTAGGTCCTTGTGAATGTTTATTTTGAAATTTAAAGCCTCTAAGGTCTCTTGCAAATCAATATGGATTTGCCATTTTGTCATACAAGTCCATGGAACTTGACTTGTCGTTTTAGCTATCATAGTGACTTGACTTACTAATTATGCATGGCTCTTGTGGACAACAAAGCTGTTAGTGCTCTACTTATGAATGATTATCAGATGTGATCTGTCTGTTTCCTAATTAACTAGAAAATTGAGTGTCATTGCAGAACACGTTAAGTATTGAAGTGTGGTTGTAAGTCTGGTTTTTCAATTGACCAAATGTGGTCCTCAAATGTTTTTCCAATGAACAAATGTTGTCCTCGACCGTTTTCACAGTGAAAAAATGTGGTCCTCACATGTTTTTCCAGTGACCAAATTTGACTTTGTTAGCATTTTGGGTAACTAAATATAGGTATTACTCGGATTATGGGTGACTAAATTTAATCCGAACAACTTTTTGTATGGTCATTCGTAGAACTTAACAGAACTTTCAGATACAAACCGTGAAATTTAATTTTTCTAGGGTTACAGTCTACAATACAGAAATGAACGATTACATCAGCTGCGGTTCACCAAATAGCTTACATTCCCAATCCCATCCAAATGAAAGACAAGACTAGAGCAATCACAATGAAGATGAACATTGAGCAACCATTAGCTTTGGACCCTTTCCCATTTTGCCTCTTCTCTAGTACCCAAATCCGACGATGAAAGTTCAGCACCACAAACTTCATATGTTCATCAAGTGATGGGTCGTGCCATTTGAAGAAATTACATGCCCTATTTGTCTACAAATCCAAGCACAAAAACAGAGAGGGATGAAGGAGAGGGATGGTCGAATGCTCTACAAATCAAAGCATAAAAGTGAGTGAAATCTTACCCCATATTTGTCAACCCACAATGACAGAAAGGTGCCGCCATTAGCAGAGGACAAGGGGATGAGAAGGAAACAGAGTGAGATGTGAATGTTTTAGGAAGAAGAAAGGATTCTTCTGGCTAGAAAGCCACATAAATAAGATAGATGGGTTGGTGAGTCAGGTCGAATCTGGTTCGGTTAGAGGGTTGGGTAGGTTTAGATGAGCTGGCGGGTCGGGTCAGGCTATTTTTGGGTTAAATAGTGCTGATTAGGCGATTCCGTCCGCCACTTCGTCACTTAACGGACTCCGTTAACGGCGACTGACGGTATCTAACGGAGAGTAACCAAATGTGAATAGTTTTCGTAAAATGAAGTACCACCAATAGATTTAAATATTTCGACTGATCAAACTAGGACTTTTTTGTAATTTCAGTGACCGCAATTAATCCTAACAAGAACATATTACAAATAACTCTTTGTCATAATAAACTTGACAGTTATGACAAATTTATATTTCCTCAAAATTGTTGATTTATTGTGACAAAATGTTGAATGCAAGAAATATTTTTGTACATAATTTTATGCAGTGAGGGTGAGTAGTGGTCTAAGTTGGATTTGGGAGGGGATGGCAAAGCTCTGGGTCAAAGCGATTAGTGCCACCTGACGTAAATCACCACATTTTGTAATGATCTGCGTCCAACGCCCTGTGACTCTATATGTAATAATATGACCCAAACCGAGTAACTCGCCCAACCAATCCAATCCGCAACCCCCTCACAACCCGATTTGATTAAAAGTCAAAGATTCGCAATCCGCCCGACCTGCAACCTAATTGACCTGTAACCCGGTTGTCCCGTAATACGGTTGATCCGCAACCCGTTTGACCCAAACCTGGTTGACCCGCAACCCGCTTAATCCGTAACCCGCTAGACCCGCAACCCAACTAACCCGAACCTGATTAACCCAACCCGAACCCGCCCGATTGACATGAATAATACAACATAATATATTTTAGTGTATAAATATTATATATAGATAATATATATATGGTGGCTTCTATGGTACCCCGGGTGAAATCCGGGGTACCGCATACCTCGAGTATTAAAACTCTATCTAGACCTTGAATTACCAGGATTTTTGTGTCTGATATTATAACCTAACCCTTAATGAGTGAACCGTAGGTCATAATTATCTAAATCATAATCTATAAACCCTAAGATGGTTCATTCCTTTTTGTGCCTATATTTGGATGAATCATAACCGTTGATTATTGTCTCTAATTAAATTGATCTTAGAGTATAAGATTGGGAGAGTTAACACCTAGATTTTGATCTTTAAGTGTTAGAGTATAGTATCATGTCCGAAAGATCGGTCAATTCAAGGTCTAGATAGTGTTTTCATACTCAAGGTCTATATATATATATATATGGTGGCTTCTATCGTACCTTGGGTAAAATGTAGGGTACGACATACCCTGAGTAAGAAAATACTATCTAGACCTCGAATTAACCGAATTTTTGGGCATACTACTATACCCTTACCCTTAATGAGTGAACCCTAGGTCTTAGTTTTCTAAATCAAAGAGCATAATCCCTAAGATTGTGCTTGTAATTTGTTGCATATATTTTGACAAATCATAGCCGTTGAATTTTGTTTCTAATTAAATTGATCTTAGTGTATGAGATTTATAGAACTAAGACATAGATTTTAATCCTTAAGGGTTTGGGAATAATATCATACGCCAAATTATGCTTATTCAAGGTCTATATATCATTTTCTTACTCAATGTATGTCGTACCCTTGATTTTACCCAAGGTACGATAGAACCACTCATATATATATATATATATATCAAATATATATATATATATATATATATATATATCAAATATATATAAATAGTTCACGTGGCTTGCCCTATCATTTTTTCATCTTTCTCACTAAGAACAAAGCTTTGCTTTGGGTTGACAATTGTTATTAAATTGAATTACATAATAGTCTTAGTAGATAAGTAGAAATCTTATGAAGGCTATCAACATTTGATTGATGTATATAAATAATATATATAGATAACACATACATATGAAAACATGATTGACTTAATTAAACCAATCATACAGTAGTTCATTTTCAAATGTTAATAGTTTTCTGGTCTCTGCCTCTCTCTAGTTCAGTAGGTCAACTCTTGTTTTCACAACCTAAAACATTTTCCCCACTTTTTGTAAACTAAATTTTAAAATAAAAAGTTAACTTGTAATTAATGGTTCACAACTTAGGAAGACCATCCTTAAAATTTATGTTTTGAAAAACAAAATCTAAACTTGACTTAATTAATCTTGGTTGCAACTTACAACTTACAACAAGTATTTATACCTAATAAATCATTGAGACACTTGAAAATCATAATCTAACTTATAACATGTATTTATAAATAATAAATCATTGAGGCACTTGAATCAAAATCTTAAATGATTTAGGGTTAGGAATTTTCGGACGAGGACTTATGTTCTTCACAATAATATAAAATCTAAAATTGACTTAACCTACGTTCTTCACATAGCCTACATTCTACCAACAATTTCATGACATGTAACTAGAGTTCAGGGTTTAAGGCTAATGTAATAGGGTATACGATCATGGCTTAGAGTTAGGAGGATTAGGACGTATGTTCTTCACAATAATAAAATATTAAATTCACTTAACTTACATTCTTTACTTCACATACGTTCTACCAACAATTTCATAACATATAAATATAGTTCATGGTTTAAGGTTAGTGTATAGGGTGTATGGTCATGGTTTAGTGTTATGGTTAACGATAATGGTTAGTTTTAGGTCATGGTCTTATAGATGTTGATGGTTAAGGTTAGTTTTACGTCTTAGGGACAAGATTCAATATGGTGTTTTAGAGTTAGGATTTAGGGTTTTTCATGGTTTGATAATATAGTTCTATTCACGTGAACTAATTATTTAACTATTAGCCTTCATTTACCGTGATTAATTGTTAATCATGGTTAATTTTTGTGACAATTTATCTTTCCAAAATTTAGATAAAAGTAAGATGAATTACATAATTTTGGATGAAAGTAAATTTGGCTCTCTATTGTTCTAAAAACCAAACTCGTATGGAATTAAAATTTTCTCCCAATGTAATTGAGACCAAAGGGTTTTCTCCGCAATTCTAGGAGCGGTACTCCCCTCTGCGAGCTCTAGGGTTTTCGGCGTACGCCCATGCCGGCGGTGGCTAAACCGCTGGCCGGCGGGGGAAGCCCTGCTCCTCCACCTGATAATCTCGTAGGCCATCGTAGGCCCCCGTCAGCTTCTTCCTCCCCGAACCCAAAAGGCGATCGGGAAGCTCAACAAAGCAAGAAACGCGCAAAACAAACAGCCGAAAGAATCCATGTAGAGAGCGACTCGGATGCCGTTCTGGAGGACGCACCGGAGATGAAAGACAAACGTAATGACTCGGGCAGCCCACCTGCGTCCGCCTGGACCTCCGGAACTGGGGCAGCCCGCCGACTCTTTAGCGAGTTCTTCAATCCCGACGAATGGTACGTAGCCGACTCTGATTCGGAGGACGTGGCCGCTGCTATCAGGGAAGATGGGTTGGAGGATGGAATGGAGGTGAACGACGACCCTCTATGTCCGAATATCCATTTCGAAGCAGCAGAAGAGCGTCAGTTTTGCAGAAAGTTGAGGTCAGCCCTTGTCGTGAAGGTGCTGGGACGTTATTCGTCTTACACTATCGTGTCTCGGCGGTTAAACACCCTTTGGGCGAAGGCAGGAGGTATCCAGGTTGCGTCAGCTAAAAATGGATACTTCATTGTGCGATTTACCAGTGGTATCGATTACGAAAGAGCAATAACGGGCGGTCCGTGGATGGTAGGGGATAACTACCTAACAGTTCACACATGGAATAAGCATTTTAACCCTTACAGCCACGAGATCTCATCAACTCTGGTCTGGGCACGTTTGCTTGATATTCCGGCTCAATATTTCAATACTGAGGCTGTGACGAAGATCGGGAAATGGATAGGGAAACCTCTACGGGTGGATCAAGCAACGAGCAGGGGAGCTCGCCTGGACTACGCGAGAATCTGTGTAGAGGTCGATCTTTCAAAACCTCTTTTGTCCCAGTTCAAGATCCATGGAATTAAGTACTTTATCCAGTACGAGGGGCTTGAGAAAATCTGCCTCAATTGTGGAAAATACTTCGAGAGATCTGGCTGCTACTGCTCGACGACTACTGCCTCGCAACCAGCAGAGGAACCCATGCCCAAAACACCATGCAAAGAGACAGATCAGGACCCAGACAAAATTTATGGGGAATGGATGATTACCAAGAGAAGGCCGCGAACTACGCGACAAGGTCCGAGTTCCGTGACGAAACCCGCGGGGACTAAAGCCACTAATGCAGACAAGGTCAGGGGCTCGGGCTCACGTTTTACAGCTCTTGTGGACGAAAACTGCATGTAGGAAGATTCAGTCCAAACTGCTGCGACCCCCATGCCGTGCCAGCCAGCGGATATTCACCTGAGAAGGGAGTCTGGAGAGAAGGTGCAGACAGGTGATAAGGCCAAGCCTACTAACATGAACAAGGGAGGCAAATCGAAGGATCACCTTCATACGACGGCCCCCATGACCAAGAATAATGCCGAACCATCTTCCCACTTGAATGCTACTAGCGAGGCTCGGAGGGGGACGACCCCGCAGCATGGTGAGTCCCCCCTGAGCGAGCAGCAAGTTTTGGGGTCGAACCACCAGCCTAGTATCGCGCCCATGGACACCAGGGAAGCAGCCAAGGATGCCCTCCTCAACAATGACCCTAGCAGTCGTGATGAGAACAATTTGACACTCACCGCGGCTGCAGTGGGCCGTCCGCCTAATGCTGAACCAACCTCACACAGATCAACAACATAAGAGATGAACACCAACGCGGAACCGACGCCGATAGGGAGTAGCGATGGAGTCATCCATCAGTGACGTGCCAGGGAGTTTCCTCTTCCTTTTGCTTTTTATGGATTGCAAAATATTTTGTTGGAATTGTAGAGGCGCCGGTAGCCGGAGCTTCCTTCGAAATTTCCTTGAGTACAAGCGTAGGACTCGTCCTAATATTGTGATTATTGTAGAGCCTAGAATCAGTGGGAACACTGCTGAGGAGGTGATCCGGGACATGGGCTATGATAGCAAGCTAATAGTTGTGCAGTGGGATTTTCGGGGGGAATTTGGATTCTTTGGAGTTCCTCTGAGCTCACCATTACTAGAATTGATTCTCACCCGCAGTTTCTCCATGTGCAGGTTCAGCAAGTTAACACAGCGGATAATACGTGGGCTCTCACAGCCATCTATGGCAACCCAGCGCCCATGCAGAGACGTGAGCTGTGGTCTGCGATCCGGAGGTTAGCTGAGGAGACTGAGAGCCCGTGGATGCTCATCGGGGATTTCAACTCTATCCTCCTGCCATCTGAAAAACTTGGGGGAGCTCCCTTTGATGCTACAAGAGTCAAAGACTTTCAAGAGTGTGTTAATGATTCAGGTCTGGCCGATCTAGGGTTCTCGGGGCCAGATTTCACTTGGTTTCGGTCAGGTATCCGGGAACGCCTTGATCGTGCTCTAGCCAATAATCACTGGTTAACCTCGTTCCCGGAAACGACCGTTAAACACCTGGCCCGGCTAAAATCGGACCACAGGCCCCTGCTAGCCTCGCTGACGAACCATATCGCTCCGGGAGGACCTAAACCATTTCGCTTCCAGGCTGCCTGGCTCACCCATGAGGATTTCAAGAGAATGGCTAGCTTAGCATGGGAGCGTGGGGCTAACTTCAAGGAATCAGCCGATGCTTTCGCCCAAGACGCCAAGTAGTGGAACAGATTCACTTTCGGCCACATTCAGAGACAAAAGGACTCTCTTCTAAGGAGGATTGAGGAGCTGGAATCGCAAGATAGGGGCCTGCTTCCCTTGCCTAGCCTAGCGGCTGCCCGAGAAGAGTTGGAAACAGTCTTATTTCAAGAGGAAATTATGTGGTGTCAGAAGTCTCGTCAGGAATGGATCAAATGGGGTGATCAGAACACGAAATTCTTCCACACCTATACTATCATGCGTAGAAAGAAGAACCGTATCACTGCTCTAAAGGGTCCTGATGGTAATTGGATTGAGATCCCGGAAGAGTTACAGGAGCTCGCTTGTAGTCATTTTAAAAATCTCTTCACCGACGAAGGAGGAGACTTTCTTGACCTCGGGCATGACTTTAAGCATTTCGACGAGGCCACTTGGATGAGGGTTGGCGCTCTACCCTCCCAGGACAAAGTGCAAGATGTAATAAGAAGCATGGGACCTCTGAAGGCCCCGGGCACAGACGGTCTTAGCCCTATCTTCTTCCAGAAGTGCTGGGACATCGTTGGAGAGTCTCTTTCCAGTATGGTTCAGGCTTGTTGGACTGATTGGGGGCAAGTCGAGTGCTTTAACTCAACGATTCTCGTCCTAATCCCTAAAGTTCAGCAACCGGTTTATATAGAGCAATTTCGTCCCATCAGTCTCTGCAATGTGGCTTATAAGACTCTGACCAAGTGCTTAGCTGAGCTCCTAAAGCCGTTGATGCCCTCTCTGGTTCATGAAACCCAGACGAGCTTCGTTCCTGGAAGACACATTACAGATAACATCTGCATTCTTCAGGAGGTGGTTCACTCGATGCGAGCTAAAAAGGGTCGGATTGGTTGGATGGTTGTTAAAATGGACTTAGCTAAGGCTTACGATCGAATCCGGTGGAGCTTTGTGAAGGACACCCTCAACGCTATTGGCGCACCCTCGGATTTCGTGGAGCTGGTCATGGCGTGCATTACCTCGGCCTCGATGCAGATACAATGGAACGGGGGCCTGTCCGATCCATTTAGACCTTCCCGCAGACTCCGCCACGGCTGCCCGCTATCGCCATACATCTTCACCCTCTGTATGGAAAGGTTGGGCCACATTATTACGGAGTCGGTGCGGCAGGGGCAGTGGAAACCAGTTAAAATCACTAGCAATGCTCCGGCGCTCTCTCACATTTTCTTCGCCGACGACCTTATCCTTTTCGGTGAAGCGTCGTTACACCAGGCAGGGGTCATCAATCACTGCTTTGACACTTTCAGTGCCTCCTCGAGGCAGCAAGTGAGCAAACCTAAATCGAGGATTTTCTATTCTAAGAATGTATCACCGCAGCTGAGATCCCAGATCTCATCCTCGATGGAAATCCAAGAGACGGCTAATCTGGGGCGGTACCTTGGGGTCCCGGTCATCCACGACAGAGTGTCTAAATCGACCTACATTGATTTGATTAACCGTATTGATTCTCGTCTTGCAGGTTGGAAAGCAGCGACGATGTCCCTTGCAGCTCGAATAACCCTGGCCCAGTCAGTGCTGTCTTCCCTCCCGGCCTATACCATGCAAACAGCCCTCCTCCCAGCTGGCATCCACGACTACATAGACAAAAAAATCAGGGGGTTTGTTTGGGGGAGCACGGAGGGAACCAGGAAAATTCACCTCGTGGATTGGGCAACAACTTGTGCTCCGAAGGAGGAGGGGGGGGGCTCGCGCTCCGTGATTCAAGACGTACCAATGATGCTTACATGCTGAAGCTAGCCTGGCGGATGCTAACCAAACCCGAGGAGCTTTGGGTCCGTCTCATCAAAGCCAAGTACTTCAAGCAAAGAGAGGGAGAATACGTGCTCCGCTCCCAGGGAAGAGTCTCGAACCTTTGGCGAGGTGTGCTGAAGGTGTGGAACCTGATCGACGTCGGTTCTGCATGGAACGTACGTGATGGTCGTACTGCAAGGTTCTGGAGTGATCGCTGGCTGAACGATGGGGAACCCCTCTCGGCCTTTGCTACTGGAATTCCCGATGAGGCCATGCAGCTTCCCGTGGCGGATTTCGTCTTAAATGGTGAGTGGAATGTTGATTACTTACGTGCTTTCTTACCCCATTCTATTGTGGCGCAGGTGATTCTACATCCTATTCCGGAGGAGCAAGAAGCTGACGTGAGGACCTGGAGACTCACTGCCGACGGGAAGTTCACAGTCTGCTCTGCGTACCAGCTGCTAGCCCAGAGTCAAGACCTGCCCGAGACGCATCCGATTTGGCGCACAATATGGCGTGCCCCAGCCCTGCAGCGCACTAGGACGTTCCTTTGGCTGGCCACTCACGATCGATTGCTTACAAACTCGGAGAGAAGACGACGCCACCTCACTGAAGACAGCTCGTGCAAACTTTGTGGAGGCGGGCTGGAGACTACCGTTCACATCTTGAGAGTGCCCAATGGCTAGAGCTACCTGGGCGGACCTTCTGGATACTGAACCTAATGAGGCCTTTTTCGGAGAACCCTTGAAGAAATGGGTGTTCCATTACATTGCAGGAAGGAGCTCCATTGTGGATAGCACTCTCTTTGCTTGCATGTGTTGGCTTCTGTGGAAAAACCAGAATAACCACGTGTTCCAAGGTGAGTTACAGTCCCCTGCTCAAATCCAGTTCAATACCAAGCAGCTCAAGCAGCAAATTCTGGCTGCTCTAGAGAAGGAGAACGAGATATTCGGAGGAGGGGGACCTCCGACTAGCCGATCAATCCGCTGGGAAGCTCCACCACCAGACTGGATATGCATAAACACTGACGGTTCGGTCTTTCATTCTCCGGTAAGCACGGCAGCTGGTGGCATCGTTCGGGGGAGCGATGGCCGCTTCATCAGAGCTTTTACTGCGAATCTTGGAGGGGGTTCGATTACCCGTGCAGAGCTGACTGGAATTGGGCAGGGACTGAAACTTGCTTGGGAACTCGGGGCTAGGAAGGTGATTCTCCAGACCGACTCACTTATAGCAAAGACTCTCATCGACACTGCTTCTGAGCACCATCCTCACTTTGTGGCCATTGCTGAAATCCGTCGTTGGCTTCGGAAGTCTTGGCAGGTTCAGATTGTACACGTTTTTAGGGAGGGGAACTATGTTGCGGACTATTTGGCCTCCATCGGGCACAACTATCCTGTAGGGGTCCATGTTTTTGATGCCCCTTCGAGCTCTTTAGCCTACTGGTTGTATTTCGACATTTTGGGGGTGGAAACACCGCGGTTTGTTAATGGATAAAGGTTGGGGCGCCCTTTAAGCGCTCCGTTTTCCGACAAAAAAAAAATTTCTCCCAAATAAATCACATAATTGGGACAACAAAAACTTAAACCACGTTTAAAATGGGGACACTTAAAATTGAAATTCCTTAAAATTTGCTTCCCCAAAGCTTCTCCCGGATTTTTTTCCCACTCCCGCTAAAACCACTCCCGGATCCCGCATTTTCTTCCCACCCGCACCAAAAATTCTTGGCTCCAAATCCCAAATTCTTGGCTCCAAATTCAAAAAAATTTGGCTGCTGTAAATCCTAGAATTTGGCTTTCTCCCGCAATTTCTTTACCATATAAAAAGGAAAGAACAACAATGGTTTAGCTTTTCTCCCACTTTTTGCGTTATTCAATCAGAAAAAATAACTCGATTGTTTTAAACTAATCATTAAAAAAACTCAATTGTTTGGACTGAACAACCCGCAACCTAACCTGTTTGTAACCCGAGTACCCCGCAATCCGATCAACCCGCAACCCGATTGATCCACAACCCGACCAGCACGAACCCGATTTACCCGCAACTCGATTGACCCGCAATCCGATCAACCCGAACCCGCTTGACCCGTAATCCGCTTGACCCGCAACCCGATTAACCCTCGACCCGTTTGAACCTGACCCGAATCCGTCCGAACCCACCCGATTGACACCTATACCTATGACCAACCAATTAGAGCACAGGGGCACGGATCACGGATCGTTGAGCTGGAAAGGGTTGTTGCTAAAAGACATCATGTGGAAGCGTATTATTCCAAAGAAAATGTTTTGCTTGGGAGTGTTGGTCGCGCATTTAGCTGAAATCGCTTCCATATTGAGTGTTCTAATACTTAAAACACTTCGAGGTCCATTGTTTTACATAAAATGGTTCTTTGCTAAAGATTTTGGGACCAAAACCACTATGATTGCAAGTGTTTTTATCTGAACACAGTAGAATGAGAATTATATTAACAAGTCTGGTATTTGAGGAATTTTGGATAATAACCCAACCATTTAGGAGCAAAATTCCAAATTAGAACAACGTAAGTCTTCAAGTTGTGCCGCGTTTTCTTGGGTATCCAACAGAAACTATTGTTTCCTGGAGAATTCATAGATGAATTGGCAAGTACATGTCTACATGATAGAATCACCCACTGCACTTTTATTATAAGCATTATATTGAACACCAAATTTCACCCACTACCCTTGTAACATAAGCAATATATTAAACACCAAATTTGTAAAAGCGCCATTAATTCTTGTAATTTCAAGATTGATATAGTTATTTTTTTCGGTTAAATTCTATCAAATGTGCGTGTGATAGTAAATCTTTGGGTAAATATAATTTATTAGTCCAATATTTCAAACTTTTCAAATTATTAGCCAAATCTTTCAAAATACAAAATATTGACCAAATGTTAATTTCCTGTTAATAGTTTGGTTAGTAATATTAACTTGGCAACATGATACTGACATGAAAGAGAAACGTTGCGATCAACATTTCAAAATTTTAATATTTTAAATATGAAAATGTTTTAAAAATTACTAAGAGTATCAGGCAAATGGCTAATATTTTGATACGTTTGAAAATTTGGGGGTATTTTGTATTTCGAAACATTTTATTAATAATTTAAAGAATTTGAATTTTTTTACTAATAAATTAAATTTACAGGAAAAGGAATGTAACGTGAATGGCATATAATGGAAGTCTTTATTGTCCTACTGAGCTTCATTTCTACAATTATATTTCAAGCCCATCATGGATTTAAGTGTTTAACAACTAAAGTTCCCCTTGTATAACCATCCATAATTGATCACATTCAATCCCAACACACTTACCTACATTAAAACAACTCTTTATCTTTTGACATTCAACCAAATCAAAATATCACCTCGAACCATTCCTAGATACATGTTCACTTAAGTATATTACTTTTTAATTTCTTGATACATGTTCGTTTTATGGTGCTTGGCATTTTTGTGTTCTTTGGATTTTTTTCACTTTTTCAAACTATTTTTAATTTGAATTTAATTATATTTCTGGTAAAACATTTGTGTTATCTAAAATTTAAGTGTATATTATACCTTATATATTTGTATGTCTTTTTAAATTAAACTGAAAAAATATTTGCATTGTGCTTAGTATGTAATTATGTAATGACACGATGTTTTGAATTATTTGTTCATGTGATACAATGTTTAATATGTAATGTAAAGTCATGGTGTATATCGCATGAATAATTTAAGCACCGTGATTGAGGTTTACTTCACACTCCAAACTGAGAATAGTTAGTTAAAGTTAGTCCTGACTTCAAAAAATAGAGAGTGATGTATAATTATCTAATATAATTATTATTTTTCACATTTTGGTCGATGAATTTTCACGGAAATCGCACATCAATACTTTATAAACCACTATTCAAAAGAAACAAAGCATAGGAAACCTCTACAAATATATAAGTAAAGATTAAAAAAAAAATTTGAACCATCACAATAAGATGACAAACATCGCAAAAAGAAAATCATAGGCATGTTATAGACTTATATAAGAGTTCATATTTACCGATTAAGAGTTACGACTTGATTTAGAAACATTTATTGCTTATGTAAATGGCTAAACATCATTTATAAAGTCTTGAGTGCCCAAAATTATATTTCAAGCCCATCATGGATTTTAGTGTATGAGTATGACAACTAAAGTTTCCCTTAATATGGTCATCCACAATTGACCTACATTCAATCCCAACACACTTACCTACACTCAAAAAACTCTTCATCTTTTGACAATCAACCAACTCAAAAAAAATTACCTTGAACCATTCCTAGCTCGTTGGCTCTTAATTACTGCGGCCTATATATATATATATATAACTCCTCCCCTCCCTTCTCAGAATGCCACACACTCCCACAAGTTTCACTATAGCCGGAAAGAATCTAGCTAGTTAGTTATTCAACAATAGCGTTATACCATTTCCATAACTAATGGCCGCTGCTGCGAAGTTGATTTTGCTGCTGACATTCGTCACCTGGGCCATGATAGCTGCACCTTATATGACGGCGACCGTGGCCGAGAGCGCCCTAACTTGCGGCCAGGTGGTTGGCAGCCTAATTCCATGTATCGATTACTTGCAAAATGGTGGTGACGTTTCTTCGGCTTGCTGCAATGGAGTGAGGTCGCTCAATGACGCAGCCGAGACCACTGACGACCGCCAGAAGGCTTGCAATTGCTTGAAATCGACGGCTAATACCTACCCCAAAGCGAAGGATTCCTTTGCTGCAGCCCTTCCCGATGCCTGTGGAGTCGACATTCACATTCCTTACAAGATCAGCAGGGACATCGACTGCAAATCGTAATTGATTGACATATATTATCTAATACAAATTTAAACCCAACGTTTCGTCTAACCATTAATCAAATTTAGTGATAATTGAATTGATTGGAAACCAGTTAATGTTTGTTCTCTTTGTTGTTTTACTTGTCGCTGTGGCAGCATCGAGTGAAGAAGCATGCAAAGGAGGGAACGGGAGCGACGGAAGTGATCAGGAGGCAATGTCATGTGTGAGAGGGATATGATAATAATGATGATAATAATAATAATAATATCAAAAGAATAATATGTGTTGGTTCATTTAATGGACATATATATATATATATATATATATATATATATATACTCCTATTGTAATGTCCATGTTTATGTTATTCTATATGTGGACCATATAAAATGACAAGTGGTGTTTATGATACCTCCATTTTTAATGAATTTGAGGCTTTTATTAAAGCACCCACACCATAGGTGTCTCAACAAGATGAGAGAGTAGAGTGGAAAATAAATAAAAAAATCTCAAAGTTCTCAAACAAAATTCTCAAAATAGACAAAATTTTATAATATATTTTCAATGTATACAGGGAGTATAATGAATCTCACGGGGTTGACGTAGACGTCCTCCAATATACCCACAGTGGGAAACGTTTTATCCCACCCGCAATTAATAACTGTCGAGGACTCATCAGTCAAGCGGATAGCATTGCCTTTTTCTTGTTACTTTTCTATCCATATGATAGGTATCTCCGTGGATAGAGAGAAAGATAGGATCCATGACGATCTTGATTCACTATTTCAATTTTGTTCTTGATTCTGATTGATTGCCTTTTTTTTGACGACAAGTTTTAAATCTTAATGCAAGCAAGGAAATTTTCATTTCAATTATTTGGGTCGGAGCGTAGACGAGCGAGCAGAGCCCAGGAAACAGGGAAGCCCGTCATAGAGCAGTCGACTAGAAGTATAAGACTGCTGGCCTGAGAGAAGGCGGCCTCTCTCGGGAAACATGGCCAAATTTCTCTTCTTTCTTTTTTCAGGGGCCCATAACGCGTGAAAGGTGGGGGAGAAGCAAACCGTCCCTCTCCTTCTTGTTCTAATTCAAATGCGAGCAACTTCGTCCCTCTAATTGACCTGGACACATAAAAAATTCTCGGCATCGAGAGAGATTTGAGATTCCGTAAGTAAGTCAGTGAGTGCTTTCTAAGAAGGGCTTGGCTTGGAAAAAGAAAATGAAATACGAACAACCGCGCTGGTCGTAATAGATCGACTTTCATCCTAGTTCTAGCTCAAGTATGAAAGTTCCATTTTAGGGAAGGACGACGTACCATGATACTTTTTTTTAGCCTTTCTTTGGTCTCTGGTTTGATGGTTGCACGTGCTAAAAATCCAGTACATTCTATACTATTACTCAAAAAATTTCCAAAATACAAACTTTTAGCACCTTCAGAATTCAAACGTTGTGAATTCTGAGGACGGAGTGTGATGAGAGAGTGAGTGAGTGAGGGGGTTTCGTCCGGTGAGCGTTCTTTTTTTTGCATGTACTCGGCGGTGGATCGGGATTCAGCTGCTCACAACCTTTCGATTTTTCATCAATGCAAGTCGGAAACCTTTTGCTTCAGGACAGACAGTGGGTTCAGAACAATCGTCATAGAGGATTATGTTACGTTCAGGAAGGCGTTTGTGAGGATTTCAACTGAAGAAGTTGGTCGTCGTAAGAGGTTTATTTACTTGGAGACTCTCAAGTTGTGTGGCTTGGAAAAAAATCTTCATGAAATCTCGAGGAAAGGTTGGGATTCAAAAGCAATTTTTCAGAGGAAGGAGCCTTCTCGTGTTATACAGATTGACAGATTCGCTTGCCGTGAAGGAAACTTTGTAAAAATTTCGGAAAGGCTAGCGTGTGGAACATTGTCCTTCATAACCATCCCTTTCGTGCCGAGTGAATGGGGAGGAATGATTGGTAGGCTCTGTCGACCGATGAGCAAGATATCACCGAGGAATCACATTATGCGTCGCGCTTGGGTGGTTCAAGGTAGATCCTTTGCTGACGCTGTCAAGCTGGGGTTTCCTATGCAGCTGGGGGAAAGCTCCATCAAACTTCACAACTCTCAAGCCTTCTTGGATGTGGAGGAGAAGGGTGTCAATGATAGGTTGTGTTTCCTGGATCTATGCTTAACGATCAGTTTCTTTAAGAGTAGGAACCAGTGACTTCCGTCTGCTCTGGCAGGAGATTTTGTGACCTGGGCTATAGAACGGTGGGGTTTATCCGAGAACTCAGTCTTTTCCAATAGTGTTGGAGACCTCTAGTACTTAATTTGTTCTTCTCTTCCGGAAGCTATCAGAATTCAAAAGGATGGTTATGCCAAATTTCGGGAGTGGAACATCTTATTGCGGTTCTGAAAGGAAGTTGATGGGCGCAGTTTCGCCTCTCCTGGTGGGTTGCAGTGGCTCATGATCTTTGGAATTCCCCCCTTTCTTCGTTCTTTGGATGTTCTAAAAACCATCGGACAGATTTGTGGTGAATTCATTGATGTTGATCAGAGTTATTGGTCGGATCTGTGTGTTCGCATTAAAGTTTGACCAAGAAAGCTGCTCCCTGAATCACTTTCGATCTTATTTGGGACAACAGTGTTCGTCATAAAAAATTATGCAGGTGCCGGAAGCTGCTTGTCCGATGCCGGACCTAAACCGTCGCCGCCTCTTGGACCAGATTTTCGAATCGTGCTCTACATGGAAGCTGCCTAATTATGAGAGGTCACATGTTTCGAGATCTTTGGGTAGCGCTCCAGTCTCGATGTCCTCGCGTGACGCCTCGGTTCTCACTAACCCGTTAATCCGCAGGCATGCGGTGCAGGTTCCTGATCATCATCCGGTTTGGGCCAATGGCATGGGGGTTAAGAGCTTTTGGGTCCATAAATCGGGCACGTTACCCAGACCTGACTCTTTCTCTCTTTCGCGTCTTGACCCTCGCCCAGTCACTACCTCATATTCCTTCCATTGTGAACCCAATTCTTTAGGCCCATCAACCTCTTCTGATCTCCTCAGATCAGCCCAAGAAATTTCGCTATCCTCCTCTCTTCCTAGTCCACTCCCAAAACCCAAGCCTAGCCTTGTCCTTTACAACGCATCCTCTTACTCTTCAGCATTAGTCCTTGATTCAACCATATCCCTTCTATTTCTCATCATTCCCCCCTTCAATCATTCGTCGTCATCCTGTATCCCCTTTCCATCATACCTTGTTCCTCCTCCTTGCTCCCCTCTCGTCCCCCCCCCCCCCCCCGAGATGATCCAATCTGTCTCTTCCTCCTTGTTTATTCCAAACTCGCAGTTCAATTTTTCTAGCCATCCCTTATCATTTTCTGATTCTCCCGATCCTGTTGAGCCAGATCTCCTAGCCATCATCCCGTTGAGCCCTCTCAATTCTAATTACTTTGATTTGTGGCAGATCAGTCAGGACCTACTCAACCTAATCGTGCAGAGTTTAGAGTTCTCTGCTATTCTCAAGCTTTCGGACTTAATGTCTGTAGATAGTGCTAAGCAGAAGGTCGCTCTCACCGCGGCAGAAACTCATCGGAAGAGAAATAGGGAATCGAGATCTAAGTTGGAAATGGAGCTGCGTAGGCTGGGTCTTGACTGTCCTCCTCCAACTTCAAGATTTTGGAATCGCTCGGCCCACTCGATATAGGTGGGTTGCTCTTCTTGCTACCAGTGACGTTTTGTAGTCATGACTCATTCTTTCATTGCATGGAATGTGCGTGGGTTGGGAAATCCAAATAAGAGGGCAAAAATTAAGAGGCTATTGAAGATATGGAAACCTTCTATTGTGGGTCTCGCGGAAACTAAATGGAAGACTTTAGATAAAAGTCTGACTTCTTCGATTAGCGGTTGCAAATCCAGTGACTGGGTTGCCAAGGACTCGATTGGTGCTAGTGGTGGCATTGCCATTTTCTGGGATTCTTCTATCTATAGGGCTCTGACGGTTTGGGAAGGTCGCTTTTCTCTGGCATTTCGTTTGAAGGTCGTTGATTCTGAGGATATTATCTCCTTCCATGTTGCCTATGGGTCGCATGAGAAGGAAGACAAATTAGAATTTCTTAAGGTAATTGAGTTAGTGTGTCGAGAATATCTAGTTGCGCTATGTATTATTGGTGATTTAAACCTCGTCAGATTAGAGGAGGAATTCATTGGTTGCCCTAGAGACGTGGAGATCATGAATGAGTTTAACGGCTTGATCAACAGATGCAATCTTGTGGATCTTCCGTTGCAAGGGGCTAGATACACTTGGAATAGAGGAGGTATGGTGAAGTCGTCTTCTCGTACTGATAGAGCATTAATTAATCTGATTTTTGAAGATCTTTTATCTCCAGAGGCTCTGATTGCTCTTGATCCAGTTAAGTCGGATCATAATCCGATCTTATTACAGTGGGGTACAATTGATCATTTCAGTCACCCTTGGAAGTTTGAAAGTATGTGGTTTCAAGAAGACTCTTTTTTGCAGAGCCTGGTGGGGTGGTGGTGTGTCCCTGTCAATGGGACTAGTTACTTGTTCAGATTTGGGTAGAAGTGTAGGCAAACCAAAATAATGATCAAGCAATGGAATCGCGTTCATTTTGGGAAAGTAGAGAAGCGAATTGCAGAACTTCTTTTCAGAATAAAAAGTATTGATGAAGCTGGGGAGATTGGACAGATTAATCCTATGCTATTGTCTGAGAAAGCTATCGTTGAGTGTGAGCTTGAGAAGGTCCTAATCATGGAGGAGATCTCTTGGCGGCAGCGATCTAGAGAAGTTTGGCTCCAAGTGGGAGACAAAAATACTGGCTTCTTTCATAGAGTGGCTAAGTTCAATAGAAGGAAAAACAAAATCAAGAGATTGGTGATTGATGGCAGGGTTACAGAGGATGGTAATGAGATTAAGATTGCCTTTCAAAAACATTTTTATGCTAAGTTCGTTGAGGTTGAAGAAGATAGGCCTTTCCCGGCCAGATACAGGGCTTGTATGTTCTCTCCGGAGGAAAATAAATCATTGGTGAAGCCTTTCACGGAGAAGGAAGTTTAGCAAGAAATAAGTCAGTGTAATGGGTGTAAAGCCCCGGGGCCGGATGGGTATTCGATTGAGTTCTACAAGAAAGCTTAGGGCATCATTGAAACTGATTTATTGAAGGCGTTTGACAATTTCTTCCTTGCTGGCTCACTTCCTTAGTCGATAGCTCATGCTTTCATCTGTCTGCTGCCCAAAAAAGATCCCTTTGAAAAGGTCTCTGACTTCCGTCCGATCAGCTTATCGGGAAGCTTAAACAAGATTATCACAAAAGTTCTGTTCAATCTCCTTCTACCCCATATGAACACTCTAATTTTTTATTATTAGTTTGCGGGGAAAAAAGGTAGAGTGATTCATGAATCTTGCTTGATTGCCAACGAAGTAATTGACAGCCGAAGAAAAAGTGGGAAGCCTGGTGTAGTGATTAAGTTGGACATTGAAAAATCCTTTGATTCCATCAGCTGGGGGAGCATTTTAAATACATTGACTCACTTGGTTTTGCATCCTAGGTTTCGGAAATGGATTAAAGGGTTGATTTCCTCATCCAGACTCTCCATCCTAGGTAATGGGGAATCCACTGGTTTTTTTTGTATGAGCTGTGGAGTTAAACAAGGCGACCCTCTTTCGCCCTTCCTCTTCAATCTTGGTATGGACATACTCTCTTTCATTCTTTGTGAAATAAAGAATGCACGGCACATTACTAGTTTCTGTATTGATGAAAAAAGGCACGGTGGAGAGGTCACCCATTTACTCTATGCGGATGATGCTATCCTTTTTTGTGAAGCAACTGAATCCGAGGTGTGTAATATGCTGGCTTCCCTTATTTGCTTCCAGGTGATTAGTGGCTTACAGATTAACCTTGAGAAATCTAAAATTTTCCCAGTTGGCGAAAGTTGCAAATATCAAGAGGTTGGTATAAATTTTTGGTTGCGACTGGGCCTTTTAACCAACAATCTACCTTGGATTGCCTCTCGGTTGTCAATCTCCACCTGCCACGCACTGGAATAATGTTGTTACTGGGACTCAGGAACGACTGGAAGACTGGAAAGGAAACATTTCATCGCTGGGAGGTAGAGTTGTGCTTATCAATGCGGTGCTAGCAAGTCAAAGCACTTATATGAGCTCGTTGTTCCTGATTCCTAAGAATGTCATCAAATCTTTGGAGAAGATCCAGAGGGATTTCCTTTGGTCTGGCACACAGGAGAAAGAGAGCTCCTTGTCTCGTGGGATCTTTGTAAATCAGCCAAGAGTAGGGGTGGATTGGGTATCCGTGATCTTGAGTCGCATAATCAAGCTCTTATGTTTAAGTGGCACTGGAGATTCGCGACTGATGGAGGGAAATCATTGACGCCAAGTTTCCAAACTATCACTCGGAATGGTGTTCGGGTAACATTTCGGGCAGTACTGGAGGCATCCTTTGGGCCAAGATTATGAAACTACATTCTGTTTTCTGGAAACTCACCTGCATTGAGCATAGTCAAGGCTTGTAGACCTCGTTCTGGTTTGATACCTAGATGAATGGTATTCGATTTGCAGAGGAATTTCCGAGAGTGTTGGCTGCTACTGAATCACCGAACTCCACCCTCGCTGATTATCTTTCTCTTTCTGAGGGAAAGTGTCAATGGAACATACCATTGATTTATTCACTTCGGGGTGGGGCTGAAAGAGAGCGTGTGAGATTGTTTAATTTACTTGACTCTATTCCTTCTCGGAAATTTTTTGCAGGTCCTGAAAACCGATTTGGCTATCGTCGCCTACAGCTGGTTTTAGTGTGCACTCTGCTTTCGAGAAATTTGCTGCTGCTCATTTTGTGGGGTCTGCCAATTTCCCTTCGAAGGTGATTTGGCAAAGCATCGTGTTGAGCAAGATATGCATTTTCTTATGGTTAGTTTTCCACAAACGAATTTTCACTATTGATAACCTGAAGAAGAAAGGGTTCTGCATTCCAAACAGATGTGCCCTTTCCAAGAACGAAGAGGAGTCCTCAAACCATATTTTCATCAGTTGCGCGTTCTCAAGTCGGGTTTAGTGCATCTTAAAATGTTTTGTGAAAATAGAGGGAAGTGCTGATGCGGTTGCTGACATTTCAGAGAGAATCAGACTCTGGCATCATGCCAAACCGACGAATCCATCACAGTGGTGCTCAAGAGTGGCTCTTCATGCTTTTTGCTGGTTTGTCTGGCTAGAAAGAATTGCTAGAGTTTTCAAAGAAGTGGAATGCCATATTCCCTCGCTTGTGATGAAGATCGGCCATGCTATTTTCTGGTGGCTGACGGTGGCAAGAATGGTTGATAAAGGGACTGCGGAGAGGTGGATCAAAGAGATGAAGGCCAGATTGTTCCCTGCACCTTCTCAGCAACTAGTGTTTTTGGATTCGAAGCTTCCTAATGACGCAAATTAGACTTTGTGCCCTGCCATTTGTTTTTGGCGCAGTGTTATCTTGGCGCTTTGTTTCTCCTTCTATGTTCTGGTTTTGCTGCTGTTTGGGGTTTTGCTTCTGTTAGTGTTTAGTTGTTGTTCCCCTCCTTTTTGTCAGCTGGTGGGCAGGGGATGGGGTGTCTTTCCTTGTGTGTTTTTTTGGCTTGCTTTGTTGGACTTTTTCTATTTTCTTTAATAAAATATATATCATCAGTATAAAAAAAAATCCAGTATATTCTATTGTGTTTCCCATCCTAGTCTTTCGCGATACTTTAGGTTTACTTATTTTGTTAGGTCTCGACTTCTCCGCTATGATCGTCCTAGTAGTTCATATAGGAGCTATAGTCGTTTCATTCCTATTCGTTGTTATGATGTTCCATTTTCAAATAGCTGAGATTCACGAAGAAGTCTTGCGCTATTTACCAGTGAGAGGTATTATTGGACTGATCCTTTGGTGGGAATTTTTTTTCATTGTAGATAATGAAACCATTCCATTACTACCAACCCAAAGAAATACGACCTCTCTAAGATATACAGTTTATGCCGGAAAGGTACGAAGTTTGACTGATTTGAAAACATTAGGCAATTTACTTTATACCTACTATTTCGTCTAGTTTTTGCTTCCTAGTCTTATTTTATTAGTAGCAATGAGGTGGTATAGTACTTACTATGCATAAAACTACTAAGCAGAAAAGACATGATATATTTTGACGAAATGCTATTGATTTTGGGAGGACTATAATGAGGAGGACGACAGACCCACTCACGATCTACTAAAAGGAAAGTAGCTTGATATTGGTTCAAATCCAATTCGTGAGAGACGGAAATCCTCGACAGAAGTCAGTCAGATAGCACGCCTAGGGGGTTCGGGATCCGGGACTGCTTCGGTCGTCACTAAAAAAGATCTCCGCGTAAAGCAAGCCAGTTCGACCATTTACAGAAAAAAAGGGTTCCTTTTTCGACATCTTAAGAAGAAGAAAAATGCATTGGCTTTTCACTCACCAATCATTAGGTATGAATATGTTAAATACCTGTGACTAGATTGGTAAAATAGTATCTCTCTCCAAAAAGCTTTTTTTACCGTTGCACAAAGAAAATATTTTGTTGCGAATGAACAAGATATTGAGGAATTGTGCATATGTTAAATATATGGCGATGAATAGCTTCGTCGCACTAGGAAATGCTTTCGGTGATGACATCTTTCGTCGCGGATACAATTGGCGACAAATTCGATCATCACTAAAAAATTTCTGGTATTTTCATTTTTTATTTAATTCCTGACTTTTGTTCCTGTTAATTAATTACCTATCAGTGTAAGCAATTGTACAAATGAACCCTATCCATAATAGAATACCAGTAATATAAAAAAAGTATGAATACTTAGCTTTATATATAAGTATAATATATAACAAGAACATATTGTGATGCATGAATTAGTACTTTTAATATTTGACTCTAGTCAGAATAGTTAACAATAACATATTAAATTATTAATGTTACATGGTTTCACCACGTCTTGTAAAACAAACCACGATAATACAACAAATAGTGCTTGTGTCGATGGTCATTTGTGTTTTACTCAATCCACCTCGTAAATCAAGTACGCATGTAAGAAACATATCAAAATTAGATACTAAAACGTAATAAAAAAAACTTATCTAGTACCATAAGGGGAACCTCGTAGTAGCTCGTCATGTGCCTATTCTTGTGAACAATCCGGTGTAAAATCAAAAGATTCTCTCATGCCCAAAGTTGGATGATGGCATTACCACCAATGGCTTGTTTTATAATCAACTTTGAACATCCACATAGCTCTCTATAGATGCCCTCTAAACAAGCCGAAACACAAATCTTAGTCCTCATCTCATCATAGTCTCCAAGAAGTAGTAAAAGTCACTTACCAGTCTTGGGGTTATCGTTGTTGAATTTGTGAGAGGTTTCGGATGACTTGATTCTCATTGATTGGTATCCAACGTTAATATACAAAGGAGAGGAGAGTTTCTAGCAACAGAAAGTTGCCCACTCTCTCACGTAAGACAACAATAGGAACAGGAAAATGAAAAAATAAAATAAACTAAAAAAACTTTAAGTTAGGTTCTTTAATATCAACGACGCCTCTCATGGAGAGCAAGAGAAGATAACGAGAAGTCAGTAACGGCTTGGTGAGAGCGTCGACCAATTGATGTGACGTTGGGATGTAGGAGATCTGCAGACAGACTGCTTGAACAAGCTGTCGCACGAAGTGATAGTCCAAGGTGAGATGCTTCATGCGAGAGTGAAAGAATGCATTGGAGCTGAAGTATGTGGCTCCAAGGTTGTCAGAGTACAGACGAGGAGCAGATGGGACCCGATCATGGAGTTCATGGAGAAGATTCTATAGCCATTCCAATTCAACAGTGGCATGGGCAATGGCGCTGTATTCGGCTTCGATACTAAAACGGGTTACCGTGCGTTGTTTTACATGAAGCTATGTATGATTGTAAACAGAGGCAAGGCATTGGCTAAGAATTTGGAGACCTAGAAGGTTGTGAACCAGAGCTTCAAAGATCGTATCGAGACTGTTTGGTGACTTGGAGCTTAAGACAAAATTCTATCCTTGTTTGATTTTGATTTTCATTCCTTTTTTGTTTATGCATTGTTTTTTGAGTTCTAGTAGAATTAGGAGGTTGCTTAGTCGTTGTTAACCTAGCTAGCTATATAAATACTCTCCAATTGCGTTGTAAGGGATTCGTTGAAGTTTAATAAGAGAACCTTGTTCATAGATTTGTCGTACTCTTGCATTGTCCTTGTTGAGTGCATTCAATTCCAGCAACGAGCGAGCTCAGTATCCATTGATCCACCACGTCAATCGTGGACGAGTTTCTATCCTATTTGGATCAAGCCTTTTCCCCTATTTGGTGTTGAAGGTTCACTTTCCGACTCCACCCATTCCCCTGTTACTCTGTTACTCTTTTTCTTCATTCAAATTCAGGTTTTAACAGCGAGCTTGAGAAACCGACAAGTTTTCAAGTTTCTATCAGTAAGCCTCGTAGTTTGGGGCTTATCAAGTGGTATCTCGAGCCCGGTTCAACTCAGCAGCGCGTATGACGATTTCCGCAGTGGCTGGGACGACGAGTTTGTCGACAGAAGGCGGCGCGGGCACTACAAGGTGGACCAGGTCGAAGGGTCCAATATCTTGTGACCCTGCTGTTGTTCGGCCATTGGGACAGCAGAATAAGAAGACGCATGCAGCTACTCTTGAATTCTCCAACGAAGGACGATCAGTGGAGGCGAAATCCGTCCTGGAGTAGGAGACCGCTTTGGGCGACGATTCGGCCATGGCAAAGCAGGTCAATGTTGTGGAGTTGCTTCGAACGATCCTGGCACAACAGAATGCCACGATCCAAGCCCAGTTCGACAATTTGAATTAGCAGCTGACCGAACTAAGAGCCACGGTGAACGCCCCTGTTATGAAGAGGAACGTTGCAGGGCAGGTTCTTATTCCTAAACAGAATCGAGTTCAGGGCAACGACGAATTACGGCCACCCGAAGCAGGGCAAGGGAACCAAGTCGTCGAATTGAAGGGAATTAAACTACAAGTGCCATCTTTCTCGGGAACCATTAATGCCTCATCATATTTGAATTGGATAAGCAAGATGATTATGTTCTTTCAATTTGGTAACTATAGCGAAACCCAGAAATTCTTCTCGTCACATACGAATTCACCGATTACGCCGTACACTGGTGGGAGAAGAGCCAACTCCACCGATGAAGGAACTTGAAACCAGAAATCACAACTTGGATGGAGCTGAGGGGTCTATTGCGGGAACGATTCGTGTCGGATTACTACCAACGCGATCTGTTTGATGCTCTGCAACAGCTACGACAGGGTTCAAAATCAATTGACGAGTACTATCGAAAGCTAGAGCTCCTTATGATGCACGCTGACATCTGGGAAGATAAAGAAGCCACCATTGCCAGGTTTCTCCATGGAATGAATCGTAAAATTTGGCTAGAAGTTGAGCTATGACCCTTCGTTGAGCTGGAAGAAGTTGTACACCTTGCGATTAAGGTGAAACGACAGAAACGAGAAAGTGCGGGAAGACGGTACTCGAAGGCTGTTTCAGAACACACCTCTACAGCTAATCCTGAGCATATCAGGTTGGAAAGAACCAAATTCGCAGAGCACACTACTACCCCGGTGAATCACGAGAAGTCGGTAGGATCAACGAGCAGTATTCAGTGTTTTAAGTGCTTCGGCAGAGGCCACAAGGCCAATCAATGTGTGAACAAGAAGGCCTTGGTCCTTTGAGTTGGTGAATACGTCTATGAAAATGAAAAGGAGGATAGGGACGAGAAGAATGAGTCTGCTTCCGACGTTGACGAATCTATTGAGGCAGAAATTCCTCCTTCTGGTAAGTTTCTCGGGGTGAATCGACGAATGCTGACCTTGGACGCTCAAGCTGATGAAGAACAATGGAACAATTTGTTCCATACCCGTTGTACCATCGAAGGAAATCTATTGTCTGTCGTCATCGATGGCGGCAGCTGCACGAACGTTATTAGCCTTGATGCCGTTAAGAAGCTCGGGCTAGGAACGATAAAACACCCCCAGCCTTACAATCTCCATTGGCTGAATAAATATGGTACTCTCAAGGTGAATAAGCATGCTAAGGTTTGCTTCCAAATCGGTGACTACAAGGATGAGTTGTGGTGCGATGTAGCCCCAATGCAGGCAGCCCATCTCCTACTCGGACGACCCTACCAGTACAATCGTGGAGTCACGAACGAGGGACGAGGAAACTGTTATCGGATTTGGTATGGAGGTCTCAATCTCTTACTCAAACTGTTATCACCAGCTAAGGCCGAGTACATCAGCACCGGATGATGGCGAATCAGAGCCAGGACAAGGAGGAATCTAGTAGTTCGACGACTAGTTTTAGTAACAAAATTGGTATGACGGGCCGAAGTTTTATGCTCACGGCTCTGAGGCACGGGAAGCTTCATCGGCTACCAGAGGAGTGGTTGTTCTGCTCTTCACCGGCGGAACAGGGGAGGAGAGAGAAGCAATTGGTCGAAGCAGCTGGAACCACGTCGAGCTTCGCCAATGATGCAGACACTTCCCACGCAGACCAAGGAATCACCTTCAACGGCAGACTCGACTCAAACATGCCTCATTCGCAAGTACAAATTCGAGTTAATTTGCCTCTGAAAACGCAGTGACATGGAGGCAAATTCGGTGAATGGGATGGAGCGATTGGGCGAGATTCAACGTCGAAGACAAATACGGAATGACTTTGGAATGCCCCAGGAAGCTTTTGGAATGATCGAATTGGAGCGGGAATACCTGATATTAAAAACCCCAATTCCGAATTGAATTTTCTGGGGAATGCGAGTCTGAACATGACCGTTGGCGGGAAAAGGAAAATCATCGATTCGCTGAAGATGGTGTTGATTCGAGGCATGGGACTGGTTTCGAAGTTCAATTGGTGGCCTAACGAAGCTTGTGGAGGTGGTGAATTGGAGTGGGGAAGTCTCTCAAGAACATTGTTTCAGTTTCGCAGGAACTGGAGTTCGGGACACCATCTTTTGACACGATTTGGGAACAGTTTTGTGCAGATTTTGAGAAGAGAAAATAACCAGCTTTGAGGTCAAACCATTTTGAAGAGGAGGAGCCTGATGCAACCCTGGATTGCTTCATTTCCAAGTTAGAATTGCTTGTCCAAGAATCTTCCTCAACTCACTTGAACAATCTGGATTTTTGACCAAGTATATTGACGAGTTCGGGAGGCCTACGTTGGGAGCTTGGTTCTTCCAATTAGGTTGGTGGAAATGTGAGTTTCGGGTCTTGTTTTGAACCTAGAGTCCCCTCTACAAGTTGGGATGCCTGGAAGTGCGAGGAGAAACTCAAAAAACCATTTTTCGGGCTCAACAAAGTGCTTTATCAACACTGGAAAACTGGCAGGATTTGGCTAAGTATGAAGTTGTGTTCAAGAAGGCTACTTTAAAGCTCTATTCCAGGAAGAAGGTTTCAAATCAAGACAGGAGCTTCATACTACTTGAAGCTATGTATGATTGTAAACAGAGGCAAGGCATTGGCTGAGGATTTGGAGACCTCGAAGGTTGTGAACGAGAGCTTCAAAGATCGTATCGAGACTGTTTGGTGACTTGGAGCTGAAGACATAATTATTTCCTTGTTTGATTTGGATTTTCATTCCTTTTTCGTTTAAGTATGGTTTTTTGAGTTCTAGTTGAATTAGGAAACTGCTTAGTCGTTGTTAACCTAGCTAGCTATATAAATACTCTTTAATTGCATTGTAAAGGGTTCGTTGAAGTTTAATAAGAAAACCTTGTTCATAGAGTTGTTGTACTCTTGAATTATCCTTGTTGAGTGGATTCAATTCCATCACCGAGCGAGCTCAGCATCGACCACGTCAATAGTGGACGAGTTGCTACCCTATTTGGATCAAGCCTCTCCCCCAATTTAGTGTTGAAGTTGCACCTTCCAAATCCACCCAATCCCCTGTTACTTTGTTACTCTGTTTTTCTTCATTCAAATTCGGGTTTTAACAGCGAGCTTGAGAAACTGAGAGGTTTTCAAGATTCAATCAATAAGCCTCGTAGTTTGGGGATTATCATGGTCTCTACCTTGCCCCTTCATTAAGATGTCGACCCCCAAATGTTTCCTAGTAATTTGCATCTAACCTCAATGATGGGATCTCTCATGGTTGAAGATTTGGTGAGGATGGAGACATCTCTCAATGTGATCTTCATCTCCCTCTCCGTAAAGTGGAAGATATGTGTCTTGGGCCGCCACCACCTTCCAAATCTAATTGAAGCTTTGGGAGGATAAGAAGTTGTTATACCAATGCTAAGGAGCATTACTGCTATGGAGAATCCTAAGAGAAAAAATGATATACTTCTTGAGAAAGGTGAAAGGATCGAGCAGAAGGAGGCCACCATCAAGTTAACCCCTTGGGGATATGAAGTAATGATCCTAGTTCATGACCATAAGGAAGATTCTGGGCACTACACGATCAAGTGTATTCTCTAATATTGTCACATGGAGAAAGGATTGGTTGATCTTGGTTCAAGCATCAACATCCTAACCCCTCGAACTCTATGAAGAGATGGTCCTAGCTAACATGAAAGATATAAATATGGGGATCAAGCTCGCAGACAACTGACCATGACAAGCTCTAGGGATAGTAAGACTTTTATGTACCCAAATCGACATTTTATCTTCTTTCCTAACTATGTGGTGATAGACATGAAGATCGATGATGCATACTCAATACTCTTTGTTAGACCATTCCTTGCAACTGTTGGTGCAAAAAATCGATGCTACGAGAGGAGAAATGACTTTATACATAGGAAAGATCATGCATTGGATAAAGAAGCCTTAAGCAGCCGAATCGTTTGATCAATTGATTAGTGATGATGAATTTGAAGACAATACATGATTCAAATATGGTGGTCAAAACAAGATCGGGATGCCTATCTCAAGAGTTTATACAAGTATCTTACGACGATCAAGATAAAATTCGGGGAGATGAAGTAAACCCAGCCCCACAAGTTCCCTATTGAAAGTTAAAGCATATATGGCTATCTGAACAACCAGCAAAGAGCACAAGATTGTAACACCCCGACCTTTGGGTTCAGGTTCGACCATATTACGTGATCGGTTGGATTAACAGTTACGTACGAAGGGTTACAATCGTGTATTAATTCTTATTATTAATAATAATAATAACATAATTATTACTATATTGTTAATAGTATATATATATATATATATATGGTGAATACTGGTGTACGTCAGGCGTATAGTATACGTCAGGTGATCTAGCCGTTAGATGTAGTTAGATAAGCTCCGGCCGATCTCAACGGTCAATTTTTGTTTTTCATTTAATCAAACTTTGGGTTAGGGTTTAGAAAATGGGTGCCTGGGGTTTATCCATTAGAGGTTAGGGAGACCTAAACGAGGTTAACAAATCATTCCCTACCCACGTTAATTATAGAACTTCATGGGTTGGATAATGATATGACAGCTTGTGGAGTTAATACTATCAGCTAAGCATTTTGGCAGGAGGCATGAATAAGTTCAAGGGAGGGAGATGGTTAATTCGAGTCAATCTACTTTAGGTATTAAGGTGAGTGTAAAGGGGGTAAATTCTACGCCTTACGATATTTAAGTTTTTGAGATTTGACTGCTATGTGCCGTGCTTGCCTTTGTATGCTTATATGATGTCATATGATTTGTGTGAGTTATGCTTTCAGTTTTATGTTGTTGTGTGCTTTACTTACAAGTAAGTTTAAGTTAAAGAAACAAGGTTTTTTTAAGAAGTAACTCACCTTCAAGAAGGTGAAGTCGTTTTAAGTGTTTTTAGTCACTAGCGCCAGTCCGTTGCCGGTTGAGACATTTTGAGATAGAGCAGCAGTTATGTTCTTGGGACTCTTAAGATGGGCAGCAGTTATGCCC